CACAAACACCACAACTGAACATGCTGGACATTATAAACTACAGACCAAATATATAAAGATCGATCACTTTTTCACTGTCTATGGTGAGTTAAAAAACGTGGTTTCTGCTGTGTTTTTGATGACAATTCATTCACCATTTTGTTTCTTTTAGCTGTTTTATTAAATTATTTCAGTTTTAAATTTGTAACTATGTAATGTAGTAAACCATTGTTAAGATATTTAACAGTTTTAATCTGTGTTGACCCCTGTTTCTGTTGTTCTCCATGTGTGTGTTTGGTGATCCAGATGAAATATCAGTGATGGAGGGAGATTCAGTCACTCTAAACTCTAATTTTATTGAAGTGATGGATGATGATGAGTTCCGGAGGATTCGGTCGAAGGTTTTGGATGATGATCAGATTCAGTGGAGGTTTTTAAAGACTTTAATAGCTAAAATCAATAGACGGGTTAACACAAGCACTGTATATGATGATGTTCTTGATGGGAGATTCAGAGACAGACTGAAGCTGAACAAACAAACTTTATCTCTGACCATCACAAACATAACAACTGAAGATGCAGGAGATTATAAACTAAAGATAACTGGAACAAAACCATCATCAATAACATTTAGAGTTTCTGTCTATAGTAAGTAGCGATTGTTTTCCCTGTCCTTCATATATTCTTGATAATAGCGTTTATTGACTGAGCTGATCTCAGTTTGATGTTTTTATTCCTCAGACTCTGTCCACTCTTGTGGTTCTACTGAAGCCGTGATCCGATTGGTCCTCTCTGCTCTGGTGGGCGTGGCTACGGTCATTCTTCTGGTTTATTACATCAGATGCAGAAGAGCTCAACAAGATCAAGCACATATTCACACATCAGGGATATGATTGATGTCATTTCTCACTAATTGTTTTGCATATGTACATTTTTGTGAGACTTATTAATTTATAGCTTTATACCTGTACCTCAGGTACATGACTGATGATGCAATTTCTTGCAAATTACAGTATATTAATATTTGTGAGATTTGTTAATGTAATGCTATATATGTTCATGTTTTTCACAAAGTATAGAAGTCTAAAGCAGAATGGTGAACTTTAAAGGTTCTTCAAGTGTGTGTTTTGTTCTTCTAGTGTTTTTGTCATAATACTGATGATTACTTGAGCTTGTGCTCTATTGTTCACTGTCAGATTTGTAAAAATTCAATTTGAAAGGATTTATTGTTTATAAACGGTTTCAACGGCAACAACATAAACAAATGTTACTGCGCATGCACGCTTTTGTGGCCCAAACTTAACTTCCGGTAGACTTCCACATAGAATCAATAGCAACAGCAAAGTTGCTTTACAGTAACGGTGCGTTTCCACTACAGCATCAAATCCGCAATGCTACAACGCCACTGCTTTGGGGCATGTCAAATTTAGCACGCCTCTTAAAGGGGTCATATGATGCGATTTCAAGTTTTCCTTTCTCTTTGAAGTGTTACAAGCTCTTGGTGCATAAAGAAGGTCTGTAAAGTTGCAAAGACTAAAGTCTCAAATCCAAAGAGATATTCTTTATAAAAGTTAAGAGTCAACCACGCCTACCTAAAACGGCTCGTTCTAACACGCCCCCACATGTCAGCTGTCTTAACCGTGGCTTGTGTACTGCATCATCACTGTGTCTGTCACGCGACTCTGTTGCCCTTTCGGGCTTGAACTGATGGTAAAACTAACGACGTTATTAACTGTCTTGATATTTACTTTGAAAGCTGACGCTCGCGATTATGGTAAGGGGCGTTACGTTTCCGACGCGTGCTTGTGGTGTTCGGCCAATCACAATGCACTGGGTCAGCTGGCCAATCAGAGCAGACTGCGCTTGTCAAAGGACGGGGCTTTGTTGAAAACGACGTGTTTGAGAGAGGCGGGGCATAGAGGACCTACAATAATGTACAGTATTTGAAAAATAATGTGTTTTTTGAACATTAAAGCATGTCAACATATTCTGTTACACCAAATACACCAAATAATGATCTTTAAAATAGCATCATATGACCCCTTTAAAACAATGTTTACACCCTGTTTGCGTTTCATCTTCTTCTTTTCACAGCAATTGGTTGCCGCCTGGTGTTTTTCGCTCGATATTTGCATAAAGTCGAGGAATGCCCAAACTTTTTGACGCTCTCAATGCTTTCTCTGCGCCGCTTTCAATCCCATAATGCACCGCGCAAGCGTTTAAATACATTCGGGAAACACATCCCACAGCACAACAACCTGAGCCCAACTTCAGTCTACTTATCACTTTAACTTTAACTGTGTTTGTATTCGGCGCCACTAGCCAGATCGATAAACAAACACAGACCGGAAGAAGTTAACTTCGGGCCAGGCACGTGCGCCCGATGAAACCGTCTATATTTCTCAGATAAGACAAACAAATCTCTCTTTACTACTGTTGTCCATTTGTCATCAGTATTTGCTTGCCTTTATCAATAAAGTTTTCCCACTCTGAGGATCAAGTCTCTCCATGCTTTATTACATATGTTGAGTGACTCCTGGGTTGTGTATTTCAGTAGTGTCACATATAAGCTTTACATTATTTAAAACATTATTTGTAAATGTTTACATTATAATTCAGATCATTAGTTTTCATTTTGTTTTTCTATCTACGATAATTAACAAAATATCTTCCCACAACTACTCCTTTAACCTGAGAAAATACTGATTTTCGGAATATTATAATATACTCTGAGAACAGTAAAAGCCTACATAAACAAGATTTCAGTGCTCCATTTGTGTCTGTGTTTTATCTGTGGATCAACAACATCATCTAGTGTCTCAGTCTGAATCTGCATGTTATCAGGATCCTCTGCCACTGACTCCACTAGTTCTGTTTGATTGCTTTTGAAGGCAAGTTCTTCAAGTGTGTTTTTGTTCTTTTTATGTTTTTCCATAATACTGATGATTATGTAAGCTTGCATGCTCTCTTTTTCTTTTCTCTTTTTCAAATGTATTTATTTGCAAGGTTTCATTGTTTAGATTTATCTCAAACACACAGATCTCGCTTCACTTCTATTGCTGTTCATTTGTCATCTGTATTTGCTCATCTTTATCAATAAAGTTTCCTCACTCAAAGAGTATCTCCATGTTTTATTATGTTGAGCACCCCCTCATCATCTATTAAGCAAATTTGGATTTCTTGATTCTTCAGCTTGCTACTCAAGTCATGAGGTTAAATATATACACGATCGCAGAAAGCTGTCTAGTTCGGTTTCCTCTTTTATTACAACACACTAACTTTGGCCTTAGCGTTCATTTAGTTTTTAAAAGCATATAAATGTTAAACCTGCAAGGAAAAGGAATGTTAGTTATGATTAATTAAAATTTTACATCACATGCACCCCTGTTGATCAGTCATGGTTCTTCTTAATGTTTCTTCCTCTTCTGCTTCAATATCTTCATTCATCCTCATTTATCTCTATTCTCTCATGTTTTCCAGCTCGTCTGCCTGTCATCAGGACAATACAGAAAAGCATAGAGATTGTGAAGTTGGACAAGAAATGCTATGATACAGTATATGATGTTACATTAAAAATACACATATTGAATAATATTTAAAAAAGAGCCTAAAGACAGTTGAACTGGTGGAGCAAATGAGAAAGAAGTAAACAGCAAAACGTGATTTGTGTATTGGACCATACATGGAATGATGATTTTGAGTGTAACCTGGGTACCAGATAGTATCCATGAGCTTTTATTACATTTCACACATGCACAAAAGATGATTTAACCCTTAAATGCATGAATGTTTCGGCAATTATTATTACATATTCGGGTCTTTAGTGACCCGGACCTATATATCCAGCACGGATGGACCTCTAACTGCTTCAATAGCAAAAAATTATCTTGATATTTTAAGAACAATTACAGAAGAATAAAATAAAGCATGTTTCGTTACCTTTTGAAACTTAAAAGGGTTCAGTTTGAGCAGATGATTTTACCATCGCTGTCATCGTCAGAGCGCACTTCCACAGTACATTAAGCATCTGGCTCATATTCACGATTTCAACCATATTCTCAAAACTATCATTTTCAATGACTTCATATTCAATATTTTGATCACTGGCAGCTTATTCACCACATCCAGCATCAAATGGCAGTGACATTTATATTTCATTTCGTATAGTAATTCCTCTGCAGTAAAGCCATTCAAACCAATATATTTTTTGCTGATGATATTCGTTTGTTTTATGCCTGCGGTAATTATGAGTAAAGCATCACGTCATCATTGTGTATCAAACAGTGCCACCTTGAGGAAAAAAGATGCATTGCACAAATTGAGTCATCAGATATGTAAATATAGTCGCTCAGGAAAAAATACTTAAAAATTTACACTGAACAAAATTATAAACGCAACACTTTTGTTTTTGCCCCCATTTTTCTGATCAGATTTGTGAACAATATTTGAGAGAAATAGGCCTTTTGTGTACATAGAAAAAGTAGATAAGTAAACTAAGTAAACTTAGATCTTTGAGTTCAGCTCATGAAAAATGGGGGCAAAAACAAAAGTGTTGCGTTTATAATTTTGTTCAGTATACATACAGTACCTCGGGTCTCTAGCGACCCTATACACTTTTTACAACAAAATAATCAGAAAACTGTCATTCTTTTATATTTTACTATTTTTTTCTTGTTATATAGTTTATAATGAATAGTTTGAGGAATACTAAGAAAGTTGATGTCTAACTTTGAAAAATGAAGGAGGGAGAGGGTAGAGAATGATGTCCCGGGTCGCTAAAGACCCGAGGTATGCATTTAAGGGTTAAGCATTTTCAGACTTTTGGAAAACACTTGAAAATTCTAGTGTGGACAAAGACACATTACCATGGCTGTTTATTTCTGCCTAATTTGCACTGGTATTGACTTAAAGCTTGAGTTTGAAAATGTAAGAGATCAGCAAAATCTTGTTGATTTTCGTGATGTAAAAGAGGATGGACATCTGAAAGTAAACTTTGATGGAGGTTAGGGGAGGATTCACGCACAACCAGATAAATATCACAGTTCACTCGTGTTTAAGACATTTTAAGCATTGCTATCGAGAGCTTTTCAGTGAACCGATGAGGAAAATGGCAATCAAATTAGTTTGGTTCTGTTTGTGTTTGTGGCGTCTGGTTGGTGAGTTTGAAATGTGTTTTTATGGCTTCAGTTCTTTATGTGAAAGATTCACTGTTTGTTTTTCCAAATGGTTGTTCTATAAACAACACTGAAGCTCAAACAGCAGCAGTTTTAGTTTCAGTTTGATGATTTTCATTCAGAATCACCACAAAGATGCAATTATTAATCGGTTTTGTGGTTTGGAAATTGATTTTAATTGTAATTTCCAAACAGTTTACATTAGTAATCCATCATATAGTTATTTAAAGGTCTATCAGTTAAACAGAAGAATCTTGTGTTTGCTCTACAGGTGTGTTTGGTGTTGATGAAGTGAAGTCAGTGTCAGTGATGGAGGGAGATTCAGTCACTCTAAACTCTGAACTTACTGAAATACAGACCGATGATGAGATCGAGTGGAGGTTTGGACGTAACAAGTTTCTCTTAGTTAGACTCAGTAGAGCATTCAGAAGGATCTCTATATATGATGAAGTTCTTGATGGGAGATTCAGAGACAGACTGAAGCTGGATCATCAGGCTGGATCTCTGACCATCACAAACACCAGCACCACAGACTCTGGACTTTATACAGTAAACATCATCAGCGGAAGTAGAGAGATCAGATACAGATTCAATGTTATCGTCACTGGTAACAGTATTTCAAATCTTGAGAAATGAATTAAGATGAACAGTATAAGGATTAAACACTCACTAATTCTCAATAAAAACACTGACAAATAAAACAGCCTCTTAATTATTGATACTTACTGTTCATTTATTCTCTCATGTTTTCAGCTCGTCTGCCGGTTCCTGTCATCAGCAGTAACTCTTCAAACTGTTCTTCATCACATTCATCATCTTGTTCATTGGTGTGTTCAGTGGTGAATGTGGGTCATGTGACTCTCTCCTGGTACAAAGGAAACAGTTTATTGTCCAGCATCAGTGTGTCTGATCTCAGCATCAGTCTCTCTCTACCTCTGGAGGTGGAATATCAGGATAAAAACACCTACAGCTGTGTGCTCAACAATCCCATCAGCAACCAGACTCAACATCTGGACATCAGCAAACTCTGTCACACATGTGCAGGTACAGCAGCACTGGAGTTTATTATGTGGCTTTCTGGAATACAAGGCTCATATTTTTCAGTTGCTGCATTCAAATATTGTCCATAGCAACACAATTTAGCCGTGACTTTTATGTCTCTTATTCACAGCGCAGACTTGTTTCTAGTCGTGTCCTCTTTTGGAAGACCAAACAAAGTAGTTTCGCTTTCACAATGAAACAACGTCACACACCGTGGCCTTGAGTGAGCGGAGGCGGCGAGCTTGAGAACGGCGCGGCCGGCGGATTCGACGAAGGAGCATCCGGCGGGGCTTGTGGCAACCACATGGGACGACCCCGGGCTGGACTCTGCTTCGTCCACGA